GAAGCTGGTTTGTAAGATGGCTATTGAGCTGGTTCTGTGGCTTCAAGGACACCAGCCAGTGCTGTTACGCTGGAAGACAGTTCACTTGACTTTCAGCTGGGGAGTCAGATGCTTTAAGGCAATTGTTATGGGGACAGACAAAGTCCAAGGGGAGAAGATGAAGAAGATCAATAGTAAGGACAGAAGAGAGAAGAGAGGAGGGGGAAGAGGTAGTGACTCCACCTGGGGGAAATGGAGTGGAGAAGGGACCAAGGGGAACATGCCTGATGCCAGGGTCACAGACAGCTGCCTGGACCAAAGCGCCCTTAGTACCAAGGGCAGGAAACTGGGAATACAGCAGCCATAGGTCCTGGGTTTTCTGGAAGAACTGGCTTTTAACATTCTTATCAGAGAAAATGCTTCACATTACAAGGAAAGATTTAACTGGGCTGGCTTACAGTTCAGAGGGCTAGTCCATTATCCTCATGGTGGGAAGCACGGCGGCACGCAGGCAGACGTGGTGCTGGAAAGGGCTGAGGTTCTACATCCGGATCGGCAGGCAGAAGAAAGAGCAAGACACTGGGCCTGGCTGGAGCATCTGAACCTCAGGGCCCACCCCGGTGACACATTTCCTCCAACAGGCCACACCTCCTAAGGGAGCCACTCCCTACGAGCCTAAGGGGCAATTTTTATTGAAACCACCAAGCCTAGCATTTACAAGGTACTGGGTTCGATCCACCAGCATCAGAAAGGAAAAGGAAAAAACAAAACAAAACAAAAAAACTCAACAACAACAAAAACAACCTTTAATATCCACAAAGAACTTTACATGCTTCCATGATTCCTGCTGTGGCCAAACCTGCTTTTGATTTTGATTCAAGACTAACTAACATGCTGACAAATGCAGGCCCAGAGGCCATTTCACACATATGTGGTCTTCCTCCATACATCTTCCTGTTTGCCTTGATCTCCCACCAGGGAGCCTGGTGGAAGTGACCTGGGATTTCCTTCTCCTCCTTGTCCTGGAGTCATTGGCTCCTGCCCACTTAGCGCCTCATGACAGGAAGCTGTGCTCCTCCACGCTCTTCTCTCGGGAGCCTGTGGTGCCAGCCTGGTCCAGCAGATGAGAATTTTGTGCTCACCTTGAGCCTTGATGAGATTGGAGCTGACAGGTCTCTGGGGGACGCTTGCCGTTCTCACCTGGTCTTTGCGGCTGCCTCTAAAGAAACCGATGAGTAATGAAACTGGCTGTAATCTACTAAATGCCACGTCTTCCCTCCTGCTTATCATCACTCCTCCTCGCCCTAACTTCCGCTTCACTGCTCTGGCTCTGAGGTCAGAGGGGAAAGCTGCAATTAGACCACAGGGAGTGTGCCAGCAGCTCCGCCCTCTCATCAAGCAGCATGGTGCCCTTGTTTCCTTTCTTTCGGCTTTTGCCTTGCTGACAAACACCTCCAGGTGCTTGGTTGCTCTCATTCTCTCCTGCCTTTCCCAGTGCCAGCTCTGTCTCAGGGTTAGGGGAGCGAGGGAGACAGGAGCAGGCTGTGTTCTCCAGTCCTCGTGTCTCACACTCCGTGTTCAAGCTGGAAACCTGTCAGGTGTGAACTTCATAGGCTCAAATTAAATCCTAGAAAATGTGCATCAACAATTTCTCAAGGAGAGAGGAAGAGAGACAGAGACTGGGAGTGGGGAGATGGAGAGGGCTGGGAGAGCGAGGGCGTTTCTGTTACAGTGCAACCAAACTTCTTCCAGCTTCCTTGAAAATGCTACAGAAAAGATGGATGCGGTGCACACACCTTTAATCCCAGCACAGGGTGCATTGGCAGGAGGAGCTCTGAGTTCAAGGCCAGCCTGGTCCACAGAATGAGTTCCAGGACAGCCAGGACTACACAGAGAAACACTGTGTCAGAAAGCCAAAAAATAAAAAAGGGAGGAAGGAAGGAAGGAAGGAAGGAAGGAAGGAAGGAAGGAAGGAAGGAAGGAAGGAAGGAAGGAAGGAAGGAAGGTCAAGAAAGAAAGGGAAGAAAAGGAGGGAAGGGAGGGATGATGAGACAATGAAAACTGATTTTTCCAACTCCTGTCTGTGCGTTCTTCCCCTCTGAAGAGTGTTGTGGACATTTTGGTTTATGATATGTAAACATGCTTTTGTTCGTCCAAACCTGCTAATTGTCTAGGCAGAGTGTGGTCTTTGCCAGGTGGGATTAGTTGAAGTCTGAGGACCTTGAGGGCTATAAATATGACCACCCAGAGGAAAACAGCGCGGTCTTGAAGGAGTCTGAGGAGGCCTGCTTGCTGGCTTGCAGGCTTGCGGGCTTGTGGTTTTCTGGTTCCCTGGACGTCTGGATTTCCTGACGAAGGTTATTGGAAAAGCTTTACGGAACCCCGAATAAAGTAGTGCTTGAGAAACTAGTGCCCACCGTCCAGCAGTCTACACTGCCGTAGGGGACGTGACGTGTCTGAACACTCCCGAGACCTCATCCCTGCACTTCCTGTGAGGAGGCAGCTCTCTTGCCAAGTGAACTTATAAACTTGTTCTCCCAGCCACGTCCCTACCTCTCTGTCGCTGCCTCTCCAGAGTGGCGTGAGATCTGAGCCTGTTATCTAGCAAAGCCTCTTCTCGTTCTTCCAGGCCGTGCTGTGTCTGTGTTATTGCTTTTAGTTATGTCTTTTAACTTAGCTCTCTCATGACTTCAGTTTCTTTGTACATTTGCTATATTTCTTAAGCAGCTTTTTTCAAGTTGTTTTTTTGCAAAAGGGCCTCGCTGACTCTGTAGCCCAGGCTGGCCGGGCACTCTCAGCTCGTCATCCAGTTGTGTTCCTAGTGTGCACAGCCTGAAAGTCACTTAATTTACTTAATAGTGTTCACATCACTCCACGCTTTTCCATGTTTGATAGCCTATTAATTTTTAGCACAGAGTAACAATCCACCTCAGAGATGTGCCAAAGTTCATTCATCACCTCATTTCCCAAACGTGGTTGTTTTAAGGTTTTCACATTATGGACAAAGTTGATAAAACTATCTGTGTGGAGCTTATGTGAACAGAGTTTGAATCTTTAGGGTCAATATCCAGCAGGGCCGGTCAGAAACAAGCGCCCAGACATGTGCTTAAAAATAAAAATAAACTGCCAGAGCGTCGTGTAGAGGAGCCAGCCTGTACCAGTTCCCTCTCTATTGCTGTGGTAAAGAAGAGTGACCAAGGCGACCAGGCCCAAGGCCCGTCACCATCACATGCGGGAGCGCTGTGCAGCAAGCTGCTGCTGCTGGGGCCACAGGCCAAGGCTCACATCTTCTTCCTCATTTATTTATGCCCTGTACAGCCTGACTACAGCCCCTCCCTCCCCTCTACCCAGTCCTACCCTCACACCGCTCCCCTTCTCCTCAGAGAAGGGAGGCAACCCCATGGGTACCAACCCACCCTGGCACCTCAAGTCCCAGCAGGACTAAGCGCTTCCTCTCACAAGGAGGCCAGACAAGGAGCTCAGGGGTCCAAAGGTAGGCCCCAGAGTCCGAGACAGCCCTGCTCCCACGGTTAGGGGACCCACATGAAGAGCAAGCTGCACATCTGCTACACATGTGTAGGGTCTAGATCAGGCCCAGGCTTGCTCTTTGGTTGCTGGTTCAGTCTCTGTGAGCCCCCATGGGCCCAGGTTAGTTGACTGTAGATCTTCTTGTGGTGTCCTTGACCTCTCTAGCTTCCTCAGCCCTTCCCCCATTCTTCCACAGCACTCCCTGGAGAACTCGTATCTGAAGCCCAAAGCAGGAAGCAGAAAGAGTGAACTTGGTTGGCACCGTGGTTTTTGGAACCTCAAAGTGACACACTTCCTCCATCAAGGTCATATAAACCTCCCCAAACAGTGCCAGTTCGAGAGCAAGGGTTCAAGTGCCTCAGAGATGATAGATGGCTCACTTAGGCATCTCTGCATCCCTTTTATGCTTTTAAGATTTTTAAAACGGGTCTTGCTAAGTTGCCCAGGCTGGTCTCCCACTCATTCTGTAGTGTCGGGAGAACTTTCTCTTGCAATATTTCCTGCTTTGGCCCCCAAGATCTGTGCCACTACTTCCTCCTTTTGTCAACTGTCCGCTGTTGTGTTTATGTACCTGAGCACTCTGCTTCACTGATCTGTTTTCCTCATGGTTCTTCGTTGCCTTGGATCCTGTGGTTTTTCAGAAGGCCTTGAGTCCAGCAGAGCCAGTGCTCCCTCGTTGCTCTCCCTCGGGGTTGTTCTGGCTGCTGTGGGTCTATCTACTGCTCACCCAAATCAGCTTCAGAACCAACCTATCATTAACCCCAAACAATTGGTCAGAATTTAAGTTTAGATCACATTGACTCTAAAGATCAGTTGGAAAGAACTGACATCTACTAAGTCTTCCTATCCATGAACATGACTGTCTGTCCAGGTTTAGTTCTTCCTGACGTCATTCTTCAGCTTTGCAGTCTTCATGGTACAGATCTCACGCATGTTTTAAGACTTAAACATCTGCTTCTTTCTACGATAATGTAAAGAGTATTGCATTTTAAATTTCAAATTCCTCGGCAATCTTTGGGATTTTATAAAGTTTTGAAATCTCAGAGTTTTCATTCTTTAATCTGATAGCCATGCATTTTCTATCTTTACCCAGACACCAATAAAAGCATAAGATAAATGAACACCAAGGACTCACCCCAGAAGCTTTCTCTTTAGAATCCTTCACTCAAAAACAGGAGATGGAATTTCCTTGATTATTATTTAGGAATTTGGTGACCCTGTCATTACAGCTTCTAGTTTCAAGAGGGAAACATCTCTTGTCTTCACTTCCTAAAACTTGCTGTTTTCTTTTCTAGGGATGACTGGCAATGTTTTGCGTCTGTACTCATCCCTCCTGGCTCTCAGTGGAGAAAATGTTCCCCCTATAAGCTCAGAAGGTAACTCTGGGCAGGGGAGATGGCTCCGTGTGCTGAGGAGGACCTCAGTTGGAGTCACAGCAGCTTCAGCTCGCACCTGTCATCCTAACCCTGGAGAGGTGGGGGCAATGGTGGTGGCTGGCCAGTCTAGCCAATTGGTGAGCTTCGGGTTCAACCAGAGACCAGAGACCTGTGGTGGTGGTAGGGTGCTGAGCTTGGTGGTGCATGCCTTTAGTCCTGGCACTTGGGAGGTAGAGACAGCAGATCTCTGTGAACTTGAGCCAGCCTGGTCTACAAGGCGAGTCCAGGAGAGCCAAGGCTACGCAGAGAAACCCTGTCTGAGAAACATGAAGAAGAAGAAGAAGAGGAGGAGGAGGAGGAGGGGGAGGAGGAGGAGGAAGTAACAGAAGAAGGCGTGCAATGTCAGTCTCTCGGCTTCACGTGTATGCTGAGATAGTTACACACACACTAAAATAACGACTGTAATAACTTCTCATCTCTCCTTTGGGTCCAGCCCTGTCCTTAGCTGTGTCAGGAGAGTTTTCACCAAGCCTGCTACAACACTACTGGGTTTTCAGAAACTTGGTTTTAGGGCTAGTGACTGAGCAGCCTTCCTTCTCTTAGTTCTGAGTTCAAGTGCTTCTTGGCTTCTGAACTCACTTTTTTTAGTGCAAGTGGCTGTCTCTTTAACTGGTCCCAAGACTGCCAGTCATTACTGCTCTCCTGCTCGGATCACCGCTCTCCTGACTCTGCCGTCATACCTCAGGCTGCAGGCACCTATGGCAGCCTCTGTCTCAGCACTGCCAGGCTGCTGGGCCGCGCCTGTCCGCAGACCTTCATCCTCATCCAAGCTGCGTGTGTGACTCCGGCACCCATCAGCCTGGCTTGTCCTCTTACAGCCACAGGTTAGATGGTTATAAGACTTCTCGGGGACAGAGCCTGGGAGGTAGACACCTCAAATTTTAAAAAATTAATCTGGTTCTGATCATCCTGAATAAATGCCCAGTTACATTTTTCTCTTCTTTTTCTTTCCTTTTTTTTTTTTTTATCCCTGGCTGTCCTGAAATGCACTCAGTAGACCAGGCTGGCCTTGAACTCACAGACATCCACCAGCCTCTGCCTCAGAGTGCTGGGATTAAAGGGGTGCACTCAGCTTCCCTGTAATTGTCTTTAAAAATCTGATTTCCTATTTGCATTGACCTAAACCGCACACTGCGTCAGCAGTCTCCCCATCGCCAGTGGTCCTTCTCATGTGCCGCATGGCGTGTTAGGAAGACTTGAGTGTGAAGCTGTGTCAGAAATCCTGCCATGAGGAGGGCGTGGAGGAGTCTTCTAGCTCTGCCAGACAGCAGCATTACAGCCTGTAGCACGTTCTTTTCATGACTCATTTCCTCATGCGTAACACACTAATTCAGTGCCAACCTGTCATAAAACCAGGGATGGTTGGGCACACTGGCCATGGGCGATTAGCTTTATCTCCTGGGTGGCTTTGATCATAAGTGTGTATAAAAGTACACCCCAGCACAGCATTGGTTTGAATGTCTTATGTTATCTCTGGCTTTGCTGGGAACTCTACAGAGGACATGATGGAAATCACTCCCAGTGTGTCTGGGCTGTAGCATCCGTAAAAGGCGACATGCTGGCTCAGCCGAGCGAGTGATTTCATAACCGACCACAGGCACACAGCCCTGCACATCTGCAAGCACGCTGGCACAGAAGGGGGAACATTCCTTTTATTTTCTTCCTTTCACATTTCGTCTCTTAGAGCTTTCTTCAGGACCTCTGGCTGCAAGGCCTTTTCCCCTGCAGGAAGATGGATCCTAACAGACCTTCCGGGAGAGCCTCTCCCCGCGGGGCAGACATCTACCAGGTACCCTCCTGAGGGCCTGACCCTTGTACGCTCACAGACACGGAAGACTGAGGTAGAGGTGAGTCCCAGGAGGCCTGCAGCAAGCAGGAGAGTGAACAGGGAGGGGCTGGGTGTGGCTGGGGAGCTGGCCTGGCCCAGCCATCTCCTGCACACATGTAATCCAGGACAGCAGGGGGAGGCAGGAGAGCCTGCAGTTCACACCCACTCTGAGCTACAGAAGCGCTTGAGGGGAGCTGGGGAGAGCCCCTGTCACTAAGCGCGAGTACACACGCGCGCACGCGCACACACACACACACACCAACTCAAACTCACTAGAGAGTTCTGAGAACCACGTCTGAGCATTGGCAAAGCCAAAGCTGGGGAATCAGACAGGCGAGTGTTCTCACTGGTAGAAGGTTCGAGCCCCTTTTATCTTCAGAATTGCCCCCCACAACACACACAGGCAGAGTGTTCCAGAGGACACACAAAAGCTTTCAAGTGTTCTGAGATCTGCGGACGTTGACGTGGGCACAGCGGGCACGCGTGTGGGAAGGCACTAAGAAGCAAGCTCCCAGGCCGCCGTGGCTGGAGGGACCCTACCCGTCCCTCTGCTCCCGAAGTGCCTGCGTGGGCAGGGCGCACAGCCTGGTGCCAATAGGGGTGACAAGGGCCCGGGCGCACACGCGCAGCGGCCAGGTCTGCAGCCCCAGGCAACGACTAGTCACCAACTGACGAGTGAGCGCTGGGACTGGACAGGAAGCACCCGGAAGTGGCTACCGGAAGTGGTTAGCTGTCCCCTGGAGAAGACCCTTGTGCAGGGTTAGGCCTTAAGCTGGCTGGAGATGTCCACCCGCTCCTCTGAGGGACACTGAAAATGAGCGGAGGGAGCCGGGTGGGAGGCTCAGCGGGCACAACAGCCAGGGAAGCGTCCCCGGCTCCTCTAGAGGTGTGTCCCCTTGAGGCAGTGACTCAGGCTAGTACAAGGGACGCCAACATGGCCTAGCCCAGCAGCCTGCAGGGAGGGGCGGCGCTGAGAGCTGGCTGAGGCTGGCCGGAGAGCAGGCAAGGCTGGACTGTGAACCATGTTCCGGTGTGTTCTGCTGGGTGCTGGGGCAGTGTCAGTGACAATTGTGTTAAGGGCTAAGGGGACTCCAAACTTCTCTCTCTGTCCTTTGGCTGGAGAGAGGTCCCCCGCCCCCAGCTGTTTACTTCTGTTTTTCAGTGATGGAGGGGGCCCTTTTTCCCTCCGTGAACTTTTGTTACATGCTGAGGCCGCCCCTTCCTTCCTGGAGCCTGGGAGAGATGCCTTTTCCATGGAAGGTTCTGGGGGCCGGGTCCTCCGGCTTTAGGGTGTTCTCTATACCCCCTGAGCCTTTCCTCCGGCCTGCTGCCTTTTACAGCTTCTCCCTGTGTCCACAGGAAGTTCTTGTCCACACCACAATGCCTGGCCCTTGGTTCTTATGCAGACCATAAAGACTCGGGACACCCCAAGACCAAGTTCTCAGCAAAGGAGATTTCTTGGCTCAGAGAGACAAAGGACAGGGAATAAGAGATAAAGGTAGGAGGCAGGACAGGAGGGAGAAGGGAAATAAACAAGGAGGGGGAAGGAGTGTTTGTCCCAGGGGGTGGGGGACAGAGGGGTGCCTCTGAACAGAGAGGAGACAGTGGCCACACATAGGCAAATAAAGGTAAAACGGGAAACCCGAGTTAGGATGAGGTGTTTGATTTCAACTGAGCAAGTCAGTTAGGTGAGCCAAAGGGGCCTTTGATTGCTGGACTTCAGTACTTTGACAGCTGGACCTTGGTGGTCAGCCTCAGGAGGAAGTAGTCAAATAAGGGACCAGACCTTGGGGGCCAGCTCTAGGAATGTGATCTGTTTTTAGCCAGGCAGAGGGGAGAAGGGTGGGGCCTGTCAGAGCCAGGTTTGCCTTGCCTGGGCTGGCTAGAGTCCCTTCAGTTCTCTTTTGGGTGTCCTGGGAAGTGAGGAAGGCTGTGGTAAAAAGGCTGTGACTAATGTCCCCTCCCCAGTTTGAGACAAATTCTTGTGTATATTGCTAGGAAGGTGAGGCTGCTGTGAGCACAGATGGGTTTGGAGAACTTTCCCCTTCAAGGGCTTGACCCCTGACCTGGAACTTCCCTTTCAGACTCTGTGGTGACTGAGTCCAGCACGCTGCTTTTGCAGGCACTGCTGCCTGGGCGGCCATTCTGCGTAGGGGATTTTAGCTGTTCTCAGCTCCGCTCATTGAAACAAAGTACTCTGCCACCCTGGGAAGCCGGTGAAATGACACGGAAAGCTGGGGCTGGAATGTGGCTTGTTTGTTTGCTTGGCCAGAGGAGGCCCTGGGTGTGGTGGCACACACCTGACACCCCAGCACTGGGGGGTGTAAACAGAGGACTGACCTCAAGGTCAGCTGCTGTCACACAGCAAGCTGGAGGCCAGCCTGAGCTAACTCTGTAGTTCATTCACCTAAAACTTGTAGCCTATTGAGTTATTAGACCAAAATGCTCCGAGAATGTTTGGTGACAAAGCACATTAAAGCACAATGCTGCTTCTCATCCAAACCCAAAGGAAAAGAAGACAAAAGCCGTATTATTCGTGCCCTCCTACTTCCCAATACCACCCTCAGGAACGAGCCGCACACGTGTTGGCGTGTGAGGCCCAGGCTCAGGGCGGTCTGCACGGATGACGCTCTCTTCTTTAGAAAGCGAGGCGAGCCTGCTGCTGCTCCTTGCACTCGCACACACCCCTCAGACAAACAGGCAGGAAGCAATTCCATCTGTGGAGAAGCCAGACAGGTTGGGCTGAGTAGTACGTGTCTTTTGAACATTTTCAGTTTCATTTTAATTGCATGTTTATAGGCTACTGGCAAATTAAAAATTATGTGTTTTGTTTACAGCAGGCGCTGCAGTGAGGGCAGAGACAAGACCAGCTGCACCAAAGGTGGAGAAAAAGAGCAAGAAAAAGAAATTCCACAGAAGCCCAGAGGGAAGGATAGGATTTTCTTCCCGCCCAGCAGCGAGTTGGAGAGAGTTGGAGCTTTCCCTGGAACGGCTGTTGATGCCGCATGCAGTAGTGGCTTTTCATAGTTTCCACCAACAGGACACCTTGACAGAGTCACCGGGGAGGTAAAGATGGGCAGATCCCTGTGGCCCCGTGGCCAGCCATCTGCATAGACCCCTTGGTAAATTCCAGGCCAGTGAAAGACACTGTCTAAAAAACAAAAAGCAAACCCACCAGGTGTATTACATAGACACACACACACACACACACACACACACACACACGCACACATGCATGCACTCCAATATATCAGTTTGATGAACAGTTTCCTTTAAATGTTCTTTACTATTGCCCTTGATCTGACTAAAGTCTCCTTATTAGTTTGTTTACATTTGATTGCTCCTTTCTTTCCATTTTTATTGAGAACTCCTTTCCACAAACTCTCACTCCGTTAGAAACAGGAGCTATTTTAAAAATTAGGTTAGGAGTCTTTTCCCTTTCTTTACATCTTTAAAGAATGGATGAAGAAGTAGGTCGCAGCCTACTTCTAGAAAAGGCTGCGCTCACTGAGGGACACACAAGAGAGGCAGCAGCGAAACGTCCTCTCTCTGTCCTGATAGATGGCACTAGCAAAGCCAAAACTGTATGTGTGTGACTTCTCTCTTGTCAGGAGAAAGGTGTGGGTTTGTACATTTCAGGACTACAGAGATGCCCATGACAAAGAAAGGCAGGGCTCTTAGAAAAAGAGAGCAAACTGGATTATGAACGGCCAAAAAGAGAGGAAAAGAACCATCTTTTGGTGATCAGGAACAGGACTGAGACATTCCAATAAAGAGGTCTGGAGTTTGTGATGGAGCCCGGGGCAAAGTGTAGCTAGGCAAGAAGCCTCCGGCCTGAGCCGACCCCATGCCAGGACAAGATTTGAAAGGTTACTTTCTGACTCTTCACTGTGTCTCATTCTCGCCTCAAGACTGGACTCTCTTAAAAAGATTTACTTTTTTATGTGTATGAGTGTTTGCCTGAAAGTATGTACATGGCCACGTCTGGGCCAGTGCCTGATGAGGCCAGCCTGGGACTGGAGCTAAGTCCTCTGTGAGGACCACGTGGGTGCTGGGGCCCAAACGCTGAGGCCTCTGTGAGCCGGTGCTCGCAGCCACTGAGCCGCCTCGCCAGCCCTGGTCTCATCCTTTTTGAGTAAGGTAAGATTCTCCTTTTCATTTAAAAAAAATTTTTTTTTTTTTGAGACAGGGTTTCTCTGTGTGGCCTTGGGTGTCCTGGACTCACTCTGTAGACCAGGCTGGCCTGGAACTCACAGAGATCCTCCTGCCTCTGCCTCCCTGAGCACTAGGTTCACAGGTGTGTGCCACTTATATTTATATCACTGCCAAGCACATTTTATTTGTATAATTTCTTTTTCTTTTGTTGAGGGGCAAAGGAAGTTGGACAGGGCTCCTTGGGGGGCAGGGGCTCCTTGTGTACCCCAGGCACCAGCGTTCTGCGAGATGGAGTTGCATGCCTGGAACACCACACCCAGTTCATCCTTTATTATTTTTTTTTTATTAAAAAAATGATGTTTATATGTGAGTCTGAATGTTAGAATATGCCCACAAATACAGGCACCCACAGAGGCCAGAAGAGGGCATTGGACCGTTGGAGTTGGAGTCAGAGGCGGTGGTAGGCCCCGCCTGGGGTGTTGGAAGCACAGTCAGGACTGGCAGAGCAGCTTTTCTTTACTCTGAGCTGTCTTTCCAGCCTCCCAGAGTCTGTTTTCTAAAGCAGGCGGTGCGATTGGTGTTTAGGGATTGAAGCCTGGAGTGGCACATTGTGGAAGTTACAAGAGTGTTCTTTGAGTTGGGCGTGGTGACGTGAGTCTTAACCCTGGCACTTTGGAGCCAAGGCAGGCAGGTCTCTGTGGGTTTGGGGCCGGTTGGTTTACATGTGAGTTCCAGGTCAGCTTGAGGCCCTGTTTCAAGCAAACAAAATCTCCAGTAAACAACCAAGAATCTTCAGCATCTTATAGGCCTTGCCCTTGCAAACCTCCCAAACAAAAACAGGTATGGTTATCACCGTGTTACATGAAGAAAGATATAAAACACTGCTGAGGTGAAATCTAAGAGGATCTGCCTGTCTCTTCGCCAGACTGAACTAGTGGCTACAGAGTGGAGAGAAGAGAGTTAAAAATCCAAAATTCTCCTGGCCCCTCTAAGATGCCAAGAACAGCCTGGAATCCTGCTGTCTGGAAAGACTGGGAAGTCTGGCCGGAAGCACAAAGCTGTGAGAATCTCTCCTCCAAATAGGAGGGGTCAGGCCATTCTGCCCACTCATCTCTGTGGCTGAGTAGAACATTTCCCGGGCCTTTCCTAAGAGAAGCAGAGGCTGCAATCTGGGCAGATGGTGAGATGAGAGCAGGCGTTTTCTCCGAGTCCATGAAGCCCTTCCACCCCACCTGAGGCAATGCTGTGCTCTACAGATGTCCGCACACTTGCTCTTACCTCACTGTAACTCACCTCAGGGGGCAAAAACCAGATGTTAATTTTATCACTTACACGGTGATGTTTATAAAAACTATATTTTATAGTCGTTCAAAGGCCATCCTGGACAGCTGACCCAGGAGAACTATAACATATGGAGCATGTACAAACTCACCCAACAAAAGTGAGATTCCTGTCTGTCATGAGTTATTGGGAAGTAATGCTAGAGAAGGAAAAAGTGTTGGAGAGCTCACCCAGCGGCCAAGACCCCGTGGGAGAGGACCGGAGGCCAGTCCCGAGCAGTTGTGTCGGGAGGCTCACAACCGCCTGTAACTCCAGCTCCAGAGGATCCAGTGCCCTCTTCAGGCCTCTGTGGGTACTGCACTCACATGCACAGAAACACACGTATGGATACACATGCTTTTTAAAGATGCAGTGCTGAGGAGTTTGTGGCCCTCCAGGGCGGCACCATCTTATCCACACCCCTGGCACCAGCTCTTTCTGAGTAGCTCTCTGCTTTATCTTCTACAAGGCAGGCTCCCAGGGAGTGGTTCGGGGGTCTGCTTCTCACAGACACACTTGTGGAGCCCCAGGCTGATGTGCAAGAAGTCCATCTCCCCCTAAAGCACCACATTCACGATCTCACTTGGAGGGTCCCGGAAATAACACATGAAAAGTGAAATGTCTGGCCAGACCCTCAGTGCTTCTCATCAAGAAGTGTCGGAAGATCAAAAGCCACATTTAATAGAGGAAAAACATCATTTCAAAACCACCAAGCTGATGTCCAGCCACACCATGAAGGAACACAGGAGGAAAACAGCTTCTCGTAAAGCAGCGTGTTTTCAGCATGCCAGCAGCTTGGTCAAGGCTCTGAGTTAATAATTCAAGGCTGTACGGGTAGGCCCATTTCTGTGGGTGTGTGCTGTGCTTGTAGTTGGAACACCGAGGGAAGTTCATCTTTGACGTGGTGGGGCCCTGCTAGGGGCTGCGCACAGTGCGTGTGGCCCTTGCCGAGGGCCTGACCACCTCAGAGCCACGTCACCGGCTCACAGCTGCCTGTCACGTTTTCTGGCCTCTGTGGGTCAGAGGTACCACCACATGGTACACACGTGTGCATGCCGCTGACACACACACATATAAGTAAAGTCATTTCCTAAAAATATGCCAAAGATATTTTTGTAAGTTCCAAACAAAATCAGGTCAGCGCCTGGCGTGCTGGGCGCGTTCCCGGCAGGAGAGTGTGGACTCTCGATGCTCTGTCCGGACATGCAGGAGCCACGTGGGCTGAGCCCACGAGAATCTCTGCCTCTCTTCCCGACAGCCGCCCTCTCCCCGTGTGGCGCGGCCCAGGGAGCCTGGTAAAGGAAGCGGTAGCAGGTGGGCTGGGAGAAAGGCCCGAGTGTGCACTCCTGCTAAAACAGAGGCACCCTTCCTGGCTGTGCCTCTTCCCCAGACGAGGACACATGGTAGCTCTAAGTCCAGAGGGGGCTTTGCTCGTGGAGACGAGGCACTCCAGAAGGGGTGCTCTAGTTCTGGCCTTAGCAGCTAGAAAGCAAATTTGGAGTAAAATCGTATTTCTTCCCTTGTTGTGTTGATTTTTTGAGACAAGGTTTCTCCGTGTAGGTTTTGGAACTCAGTCTATAGACCAGGCTGGCCTCAAACTCAGAAATCCTCCCGTCTCCACCTCCTGAGTGCTGGGATTGCGCTCCAGCCTCTTTCCTTTTTTCTTTTTCTTTTCTCCATTCTGTTGAGTCCCAGCCCTGGGTCATCCCGTCCCGACGATAGCCAGGGCCTGTCGTATCTAACACCCCAAGGAGAGGAGCCTCTCTCCCAAGCCACAACCTCAACACGAGACAACTGCCCAAGGCTGTTCTTTCTGGTTCCTCCAGCCGTGTGCAGGGTTCTGAGTATACAGGAACGACCAGCACCTTCACGTCTGATTCCCACGGTGACTGTGGCAGAGAAGACAGGGTTTGGGGGCCTGTGCCGGAGCTTCATGGCCAGGCATAAAAGTTTCACCTAACACCTCAATGCACTTCTGTGAACTAGATCTTGTGGCACAATCCTGGCTTACCACAGGAGGAAGGTTTGAAAATGTAGCCGTCTTTCTTCATGCAGGAAAAGAGACAGGAGCGGTGCACGTGTCCTGATGGATTTCCTGGGCTCAAAACCCAACAGCGGGCTCCCAGCGTGGGCTCCCAGAGTCAAGTTCAAAGTCACCACAGTGTACTCTGAGGTGTTTTCACACTGTGTCTTACGGCCCGAGGCTATTTAATTCAGGACCCTTCTTTACCCTAAGCAGAGATTCCATGCTTCCCAGCAGGCTTTCACCGTGATCCTCTCCTCAGCCTTTGGCGCCCTTAAACTTAGTTTCTGCCTCTATGGATTTGCTTATTCTGGTTCTGGCCATTTTGTGAACAAGACTTTCTGGAGACGCCGTGTCTGTGAGGACTGACTACAAATGCAGTGAGGGGGAGAGGCGGGAATGCTGCAGGCCCGGAGCTGATTACCACACGTCAGTTAGCGTTAGAACCGCAGCCCCTGCTCCCTGCC